ATCTTTTCGGAGGTAGGAGCATAACCACATGTACATGATTGTACACCACAGTTCTAGTATGTAGGCTACATAATTGTGTACAATGCACCTGATCAGTGCTGGTGGTCTGCATGGTAAAGGGTTCGGAGGTCATGCAAATAGTGTTTTCAACGATTAGAAGGGTAGAAATCATGGCAATACATTATTGTATGTTCGAACTCGTCTTCTCCAAAGTTCTTTCCCACACTGATACAGTAAATGTAGCAGAAGATGCGAGTGAACCAGCCTTTATGAATATGAGGTATCCGGGGGTGGACGAGATATTGACGGTTAGTCCGCAGACTGACTCTGTGTACATGTACATTATTGCGCTATTCCAGCTATGGCAATGGCAGTAAGCAAAAACAATGCAAAAAGAAAAGGAAAAAATACAAATTACTGGAGGCAATAACCTACACAGGGCGAGGCAAAGAGAAGAGAAACAAATCTGGATGATGAATTAGCAGTTCTTAGAACACAAGCTTCATATTGGCCTTGAAATCGTTAAGAGCACAAGACGATTTTACTGATAGAGGCAGGGCCAACCAGAGAGAATAGGCAGCGAAAAACGGAGATCTGGTATAAGCTGATGTTCGGGCTTTTCATGTAGGTAGTCATGGGCGGGTAATGCTAGCATTATGGTTGGCATTATGGCTGGCATTATGGCTGGCATTATGGCTGGCATTATAGTCCCTTTTTCTAGGTGGCATAATGCTGGCATTATAACACCATTTCGCGCGCAAAATTGGCAATACAAGCATAATTGCCAATCGACAACGGTGTCATGCATGAAGCTGGCTAGGTCCAGTTCCGAAAATCGTGCATCTGAGCCCGTCCGGCTTCGTCCGGAGACCTGACGTTGCAAATCAATCTTCTCAGTGGATTGTTAATAGAAGCTTCCTCACTGCTGTTTAAGTTTTTTTTCTTCTACGCTTTGGCCTTGATCCAAGACTTTTCCAACTTTCAAACTGGCATTATGGAGTAGTATGAGCATTATAAGTGGCATTATATCCTCATATTATGAGCATTGCCTTTGGCATTACCGCAGCTAATAACTAGCATTACCCGCCCATGCCTACATGTAGGCAAAGTGCAGGGATTGCATGTAGGACGGGTGGGAAGAATCCAGTTATATTTAAGCAAGTGTGGCGAGATTATTCGCAGGGTGAGGTTGACATCGGTTGGACGAGTATGTCGATTAGGAAGACAGTTGAACATGCTAACTCAAACTAATTTGGCAATGAAAAATCTTTTTACAAAAGAAGTCAACTAATGAATAGAAGAAGTACATGCACATAATATTATTATGTACATGTACATGTACATAATTATGTGCATGTAAATGTTTTCTCTTTTCCATGTTGATCTCTAGCATGTGTGGACACCTTGTTATGGAGATACTCATGTATTTTGCCATACATGTACATGTACATGTACAATGTACATGTATGGCCACACTTGCAAGTACGAAAAACGCACAATTTTTCCGAACTTTGAGGCTCCATAAAGTACAACAAAGTGAATAATTATGATCCATATGCATCATAATAGGTATGAAAAGTATGAATGCCGCAGACATCACCACACAACATGACAATTTGTTCAAGGTTTGGTTTTGTGTGTTTCCAAAATCGATTTTCACGCTCCGATCATCAGTGGAAATACGGAACTAAAGAGATCAAGGGAAAAACAAAGGTTAAAAATCCAAAGAAGTGTGACACATGACGGGTAACTTGTGGTAAGTGTTCCGTATTTCCACTGATGATCGGAGCGTGAAAATCGATTTCGGAAACACACAAAACCAAACCTTGAACAAATTGTCATGTTGCGTGGTGATGTCTGCGGCATTCATACTTTTCATAGCTATTATTAAACATTTATCTCCACGTAGATTATTTGCATATGCATCATAATAATTATTATGCACATGCATACATGTATCTGCAATACATTTCTGTCATTTTGATATACATGTACATGTACATGTACATGTACATATTGCATACTAAAATGTGAAGATCGGGTTTAGTGACAGATCGAATAGGGACATTTTGTTCTCTCCCGAAGGAGTGTCGTTATAATCCAATCTCCACCGTACACCGTACTACAATCATGTACATTGTACACTAGCACTACTTACTGTCGTGGACATGGAAATCCGGTCGCACAGAGGGCGCCGGCCCCGGTCAATCAACTGGATTTCCAATTTTCCGTGTCCAGCACAGACTCAGTACATGTACTTTTTGTACATGTACAGTGAAACTAATACTAGTACTTACTTGCCTAAGAGTCAGACAAGTACACCCTGCTCAAGGGACCTTCAAAGTGCGGTCAGTGTTACCAGGTGGTCTCCTTATCCAGGGTCGTTGACTGGAAATACTGTAATCATCCCTTGGTCCTGGCTGCAGTGGTCGTCTGGGACAGGTGGTCGCATTATCCCGGGGAAGTTACTAGTACAGTACATGTATGTAGTGTATCCGATCCGCCGAGTGATCGCTTTGACAGGTTTTACTGTACAATCATGATTGTCATGTACTCGTAGTTTGAGTTGACAGATTAGTACTACAGTCATGTACATGTGTACAATGGTCATGTTGTAGAACTAGAAGCGCCGTGATCGCAAGATTTCACTCGTGACTTCAGTTTTAGACTTTAGTACTACACTATCATGCTACTACTACGGTAATAGTATTAGTACTATTATAGTATTAGTATTATTATTATTATACGGTTGTATTTAATAATTGTATATTAAACATTTTTGGTTTTGGGGACGATCGCAAGGCTCTACATTCTGGAATGCGGGATCTTCATTACTACCGTACATAGTCATTAGCCAAATCCTTGTATGCTGAACACTTAGAACCGTGATAGGACGACGCGACGACGATAGCGCCCGTGCATCAGTGAGGACGGTAAATACGCTGTGGTGCCCTTTCTCCCTTTGGCATCGCGGGTCGCCTTGTAGGGTTGCCTTTGCGCGTTGGCCATTCCAGCACGTCGTGCGACGGAGTGCACAGCGCTGTGCTAAAACATCAGCCAATCTACAACGCCGGTGTTTCGGTACTTCGATTCTGGCCGGCAGGTGGCAGGTGGTAAGTAGTCATGATGTGCGAATTGTAAAATTGTAAATTATAACCATTCAAAATTATTTAGCAGAGTACGAGTGGACACCACTATCTAATATCGGTATGTAACGAGTTACGTTGCGAGGCGTACACCAAACACTTGTAAACGGGGTTCAACCGTTGGGATCCACTATGGATGTCTGGCCCCAATCGGAAGCCCAGTGCTTCAGAGTTTTCCTTCCTCACACGGGACAAAGTTACATTGTCCTTCCACGAGTTTTCACGTGCAGTTGGCGTTGAAATGGCAGAATGGCTGAAATATTGTTAGTCCACTGTTTCTTTCTGCTGCCACAGATGTATGTGCATGTGCGCGTATGTGTGTGTGTGTGTGGGGGGGGGGGGGGGTGGATGTGTGTGTGCGCGTGTGTGTGTGCGTGTGTACGGGTGTGATTGAACTGAGGCGGGTGTTATCTGGTTATGGCTTGTGCTCACCGGTCCAGGGCTATGGTCATCATTGAAGAAAGGCTGAACCTGAGAGTGTTGTTGCATGGTTCAGTGTGCAGCATCTGCATCTCGATGTACGTACGCAGGGGTATAGCTGGTCACCCTTTTAGGGGGGGGGGGGGGGGGGGGGGGGGTGCACGGCCGCATATGTGGAGGATGCCTGGTGCATGTCATTCAAGGTCATAACGTGCATGTTGAACCTGGGTCAAATTTTTAGGGAGGGGAGTGCACCTGCCCCCCCCCCCCGTGCCCTATGCGGGCTAAGCGCCTGGTACATGTATGGGAGTACCAGGGCGTCGGAAGGTATTCGACACATTGGTGCGGCTATGAAGAGGCGGTGGTCCGGGGGTTCTCTCCCTTGGAAATTGCTTGGAAAATTGGGCCCAAATAGCCCATACGTTATTGCTTCATGGTTCTGCAGGCGAAATCATTGGTGCGTCTTTGGCCGAACCTGCCGCGCGGTTCTGAGACCCCTGAGTACATCAAGATAGAGTGGGTCTATTGTCATTATTAATCCAGGGTGGCACTGAACCAGCACAGCGGTGAGCGGTGATCTGGTCTTTAGTGCATGTATCTTAGCCATGCATACTAATGCCGTGGATATTGAAATCCGGGGCCGGGGCCCATACTGCTTTTGGCGCGTACACGCACTGTAGTGAACGCACACGCTGCAATAATGGACTAGCAGTTCTTGCGGCCAGCGCCCCGCGAGCGTTTGACGTTCTCCGCGGATTTCAATGTCCACAACCGTCCTAGTCTGCAGTATACATATACATGTACATGTATACTGCAGTAACAGCGTAGCGCAATGCGGAGGGCACACCGTATGGAAGAAAACAGTGTGTGTGTGAGTGTGGGTGTGTGTGTGTGTGTGTGTGTGTGTGTGTGTGTGTGTGTTCCTGCGTGCTATGCTGTAACCATCATACCTCGTAAACTACAGCGTTGGCCCTAAATGAAATCCAACCTCATGAATAAAATAGCGTTGCCGGGCATGCACTACGCAGCCCTAGCACTACACATACTGGTCTGTGCACTCAAACACGGCACTGCTTTCATTCAAGAGGTTG